TTTTTTATTTTTCTTATTTTAAGGACAAGGTGTTTGTGTATTTTTTCTCATTAAAGACTAAAACAAACAGTGTGTTACTGTCTCTCTCAACGCTTTAAAAAAACAGAAATCTGGTTAATTATGTTTAAAATAGTAGTTTCCTAAAGCAGCTGGACAAACAGGAGGAACTAGAACATTCGTTGGGGACTATTTTCAGTGGCGGAATAATCCATATTGGTGCTCTAGTGATAACAGGTGCTTGTAGATCAATTCATTGAGTCTTTCCATGGGATTCGTCGACAGTAAGAAAAATCTGGACCATTTCCAGACTGATCCTTTGACACTGACCCTTCCGGAGTTCCATACCTTCCTGGTTTCATGAAGAAATGACCCGTTTTCTTTTATCTTCTCCGTGCAGAATCCGATTCCCAGTTTTCATCTGCCGGTGAATCTGTCCGAGTGGTTTCCTCAGCAACGGATGAAGACGAAGCGCGAGGAGATCAAGGATCTGATCCTGAAGATTCAGGCTCAACAAGAACTGGACAAGGAGGAGCCCGACCAGGTCGAGGCTCCGCCCGGCTCACCTGAGGAGCCGGAGATCGAAGAGACTTCTGGGTCGACGGGCCGGCCGCCAAACCTACCCATCAGCCCCTGAAACGACCCCACAACCCTCCTCCTCCTCCTCCTCCTCCTCCTCCTCGCCCCCAAGCGGGTAGAAGGGGGGGGGGAGGGGCTGAACCTGATTGTACGCTGCTGGTTTCACTTCGACATGTCTGAAACGGTCCTAAACTCCCTCCATTAACCACACACATCAAACACACCTTTAAATTTGTATTGAATAAAACATGAACTGTAAATATGCTGGAGTTTTTCCGCTGCCTTTGTAATTTACTGTTTTCTGACTCATTCATGACAGTGACCCATTAAGTTATGTTTTCATAGATGTTCTTCGTTCCTGGAGAATCTGTGCAGAAGATACTGTTTGGCTCTTGCATCGTTATTTTTTATGCTTTCAGGCTGTGTAGAGGAAGACAAAAATAATCCCGAACATAGAGACAGTTGCTGTTATTTGTAAGTTAACGTTCCACCGTCTGGAAAAGAAAAACGCGTTTTTCAGAGAGTTGATTTGCGGCTCATGAGTCACATACGTAGTTCAGTGCTTGTTGTGTCTCTTCGATGTGGAGTGGATGAAATTTTTCAGCATTAAAAACAACCTTAGATGCAAGAGCACTTCTGTTGCCTTAGCTTTTTATTCATGTTGTGAAACTCATGGATACAGCTGAGACTGTGTGTGTGTGTGTGTGTGTGTGTGTGTGTGTGGGGTCTGGAAAAGTCTTGAATACATTTGTGATTATTTCCAAATCCTGAGACTCGTAGATAAAAGAGCATTAAAGTGTTTTACGTACAGTTTTACTCAAGAAGGAATTCAAACTTAGATCTACGTGAGAAATCTTTTTCTTTCTTTTTTTTTAAATTACAGATAACTTAAGATGCAGCATTAAAGTGCTTCACATAAAAGAAAGCACTCATTTAAAAGAAAATGACATCTACTGTATACACTGTACATGATTTGATTAAACTTTTCTCCTGTTATAAACCTAATAATCTTATTACACTTGTATAATTATTCACACAATGAAAAAAGAAAAGAAGAAAAACAAAAAAAACAGATTCAATTCAACATGGGACCTGGAAAAGTTAAATTAAATAATTAAAATGTAACAAATTGAAGCAGGATAAATGTTGAAAAACACATTTCTGTAATTATGAATGTAAATTTAAAGTTACATCTGATATAAAAACTTTTTCTTTTTTTTTTTTTTGGGCAGTCACCACTATTTTTACTCAACAGTAAACCAGAAAACTTACCTGGTTAGCACTTGTTTATTTTTTACTGTGGATTTAAAGTGTTCCCGCCCTTTAATCAGGACGCAGCTTTATTGTGAAGCCGACACCAGAATGTGAAACCAGCTGAGGGCTCCACCCCTCGGTCAGGGATTAAGAGTCGTGTCAATATTTTAAAAGGAGAATAAGAAGATACTCTGTATGTGAAGTACTAGATAAGTCAGGTCTAACCTCTAACGTCAGCTGTGGTTGTTGCCAAGTTTAGATTTATTTAAACTTTTAAATTTAGAGATGTTGTAGGTGTATTTGTGAATTTCTTGTCATTGTCATTTCTTGTTTACAGTCTTTATGCTAAGCTAGGTTAACCAGGTCTGAATTGAACTGAGGTTAAGGGGATAAAAAGAAATCTAAATTTTAAGATTGTAAAAGTAGTAAATGTCACACTGATTCTCTCTGATAAGTTTAATCATAAATCTGAATATGAATCAGGACGATGTTCAGCGTTACTGTCTGGTAATAAGGCAGCGACAAGGTGATGAAGGAGGCGAAGGTGAATGCAGACAGGTGAGTGCTGTTCTTAATGCAGATGTGTCTCCTGCGGTCTCGGGTGTTTGCTTATGAAACGCTGCTCTCGGCTTTCAGTCTGGCGTCGAGTGGCTCATTCTTTCAGCGAGAGACGACTCAGCCAGTGTTACATTACTGGACACTGAAACATTCATGACTCTTGAAATGTGTTTTGTCTTCCCACTTAGGAGCTCGTTACGGTGAATACTCACAATATTAAAGCATGAAATATAAATTAACTGCCTGAGGTAAGGATGGTGATGTTTATGGAAGTCAATGCCCTCGTTTGCTGCTCTCCGTCGCTGCCTGTGACACACACACAACAGTGATTCAGTTTGATAAAAATAATATTAACTTTAGGTTAACTTTCTAGCTTTTTTTTCTAGGGCTTTCATGTACATTCCATGGTCTTCATCAGTGGATGGAGTTTCCTTAGTTCTGAGGTTTTTTTGTCTCTTTAAAAACCTTGTTAAACAGTCGAACATTGATTATTGTGAAATGCTATGGGCTACTGAGCAAACCCCCATATTTTGAAGAAGCTTGCATCACATGATTGAAAGCTCAAGACCAGCCACTAAATGGACCTTGTGATGACCTTTTGATACCACTGAAAATGTGTTGTGTCAGTAGGTTTGAACAAGGCCCAGAATGTACCTTTTAAAGTGGAAATAGACACTGGACAGTAACCATGCCGACAGTGGTCGCCATGTTGCGATTTGGTCTTAGCAACAGTAATACCACTTGGAAACATTGGGGGCGTTAAAAGTGAAAAGTTGTCTGTTTCCACTTTAAAATGATACAAAGCATATTTTAGTAAAACATTTATTAATGAAAGAAGGAATTTATAAACGAGCTATTTGTAAGATTTGCTATTGCTACATAGCTAACTTTAGCATTTACGGCTGTTTACTTACCAGTCTAGAAGAAACGTTGTGAGTTCGACATCAAACTTCATTCAGTTACTCACTGAGCGCTGTCTCTCTCTTGTTTTGCCTCTATTTCCGTTACATCTTTTCTTCTAGGCTACTGAAGTCAGCATGCTAACCAGCTAGCCCCGGCCCAATCGGACTGTTTCGTCACTTTCCGATACCGAGTCGCTGCAGCGTCCAGGCTGCCCTGAGGAAGTAGCGCTGCTCAGAGGACGTATTCTAACAGCTTGTATTGTAAATGCATCATTGACTGAGGCTCTTGACAAGACTGGTGGATAAACAGCTGATAATGCTAATGCTAACGTTAGCTGTGTAGCAATTACAAATAGCTCATTTACATTAAACCTCAATGGGGGTGGTGGTGGGGGGGGGTAATTACTAACTAACTGACTGACTAATTAACTTATGCCACCTTCCCACTTTGACATGATAATTAATAAATCATTAATGTTTTAATGATTAGTCCAACACATTTGTGTACGGTGAGAGGCAGTGAGTGAAGCAGCAGACAGAGATTAGCACCATTGTTGTCGTCTTTGACATTATCCCAGTTAATCCTCAACCTTCCTGAAGGTATTACTGCTCAGTGTCACATACGCCAGCAGCCAACATGAGACTGTGAAGATAAAAATAATGAGATTCTTTTGTGTTTATGTTCTTTACAAGTCTTTGCAAGTAAATCTGTTATTTTCAAATTATTTCCAAGGAAGTTCCTGTGCTAATTGCAGGAAAAATAGTGATGTTATTGAAATATATGCTCAATTTAAAGAGAAGTCGGCGCTCAATTAAATGTTAATTTATTATTATAAACTTTTTTTGCAAAATTTAAAATGGATGCATGGACATGTCCCTTTTAATGTCAGGGATTGTGGTTTGATCCCTGGCTCCTCTTGTCCCAGAAAACTGAACCTGAAATGATTGTCCTGATGGTCAGGAGGTGACTCGCTGTCATGGCAGGAAAAGCACAAGTGTAATTGATTAACTGAAATTAAAGTCAAATTCGCTCCATTAAGGTGAACTAGTCCTGTGTCCACACCTGTCTTTATCCTGCTGTGACAAGTCAACATGTATTGTTATTGTATATATGAATTGATGTTTTGCTACTTTTTAAAGTAAATCTAGGTGTGGTTAGATCGATCTCCCTGATATAAAGTCTTATTTTGAGTATCAATACCTGTGGCAGTAGGATCCATCAGTTTACAACACTTCCTGGACACGTGAACACTTTTCTTAGAGCTGCAATATTTGCATCTGCTGCTGCTGCTGTGTGCAGTAAATCAACTGTACATTAGCTGCTTTTATCAATAAAAACTATTTATATTGGTATTGGTGTCAGTGATCCTGGCCTTGGCTTTACTGTGTATTGGATTAAAACCAAATCTTGTGGTACTGCCCACCTCTATTATTGATTTAAAGACACATTGTTGTGTGAACTGTTCCTTTAAGAAAGTGATTTTTTTTTTCTCTCTCTTTAAAATCTTACCTGCACAGGATCCGGAAGCTCTCAGGGCTAATGGGGCTCATGTGTCCCACCTTGGATGCCCCTGTTGCTCAGCAGACCGTGAACAAACTCCCCCCTCACGACCAGGACAGCGCCCCCTGCAGGGGCACCCGCCCCACCGGAGACTAATTTACCCATCTCGTGACGTCACGGGGGCCAGTTTCCCAGGATTGCTGCGGGAATCGGAGGCTGCAGGGCGGGGGAGAGTGTGGCCCAGGCTGCCGGAGCGGACACCGATCATCTGGAGACACCCGGCGGGGAAGGCTGCGGTTGTGGACGTGCACCTCTTTTCAGGGATATTGTTTTTTTTTAATAAAAGAAAAAACACAGTTTCCCAGAAAGCAGCTTGCGGAGTCCCGGGAGCTTACACTCAAACGAGGTAGGTAGCACCGGCGACATGCACCGGGGAGAATTTATCGCAATAAGACCGTGATGTTAGCTAGCTGACGGGCTACAACACACAGCAGCGTCCCGGGGCTAGCAGCCAGCAGCACGGGGAGGCTGTCAACACACACTGGAGCTTTCCCAGGAGGAAAACCGTCAACACAGAGCTGAGAGCTGTGAGACAAATCCCTCACACGACTGGGATTTAGCTAGCAGTTTACTCTAAACCACACCAGCCCCCTGGTTTCTACCATTCCTGCACTCAGCGGTGAAAACCTTGATGCTTTTAACGGCAGAAATCGTTGGTGGATTTGTCAAGCTTTGTTAGGAGGAGTCGACGCCAGACTTCCTTCAAACTTCCGTCAATTTGAATTATTTTGGCGATAATTAGTGGCACGTATTGTCGAATATATGGCATAATATATATTTTGAATAATTAGTAGCCACTGTATAATTCGGCTTATAAACAATCCACCGTGCCTCCCTTAATTTCAGTAGAGCTTTTAACTTTTTAATACACTGACCGGCGCTGCTATCGCCACCAACGGCTCTGTGCTCGCGAAAGAACACAGCGGAATCACCCGGCGAACAGAATTTTTAAAAAGTTGGATTATGAAGGTATGGTGCTAATTTGTGGATTATATTCATGCCGAATCGAAGAGAAGTCTCTCCTGAATCATAAAAAAAGTGATGATTCATTGTTCATAGCGTGTGTGCGTGTCTGACAAGCTAGTCGATCCCAAACTCTCACATATTTTGAACGGGGTTCGGTTCGGCGTGAGATTGTGACTAGACAGCTCGAGCGAGCAGGACGAGCATTTAGCACGAGCCTCTTTACATCGGAGGGAGTTCAGAAGGGACAGAGCTTGGCAGCTGCGAGGAGAATTCACTGGTGCGTACATGACATGGGAGGCTGTGTTGTTGTACAGCAGCAGCAGCACCAATATGTCAGGTCTCACAATACGAGCACGGCTGCGGCCTGCACACATCCACATGCACCCCTGCCGCTGCTGAGCCTGGGAAGAAGAATCAATGGACATGCTTTGCATTAGGAAGGAAAAAAAAGCTGAGGGTGGTGGGTTTGGCCATTGTGATATTATTGCCTGAGCGATGATGAAAGATAATGTGGCATCCTCAGAGGTCTGGATGCAGGGAACAAGCTCGGCCAGTGCTGTGGTTTCTATCTGTGTTGCATGATTATGTAAGAGCTCTCAGTGCTTATTGTGTTTGTCCTGAGCTTGTTTTTGTGCTGAAGCTGCTTTGAAATCACTATTATGCTCATTTTATTCTCACTCACAAGGGCACATGTTGTCTTTTATTATGTCCCATAGTGTCTCTTTATGGACCTGCATGCAGCCTGTGCCCTGTGTAACACCTGTGGTATTAATTACTCTTCTCACAGTGAGCGCTGTAGTTCTTCTCTGGATGAAATGTCTTTCATTCAAGTGGAGGTCTCTCCAAACAGCAATCTCCTGATGTCTGAAGGGACTTTGACTTTTGTCCATCTTTTTATGGCAGAATTGACACACACACACACACACACACACACACACACACACACACACACACAGTTACATTATGTCACAACAGGAAATATCGCTTCTTGTAGCCGGGCTGTCCTTCCTGAGTTCAGGGAGGTTCAGGAACTTCAGGGGATCAAAGTCCTCTTCAGGAAATGATCCTGAATGATTATTGGATTAGTTGGATATTGAGCTTTCCTGGGAAGCTGAATTTGCCGCCACAGTGATGAGCATGTTACAACCATACGGACGTGAACGTTAAAGTAAAGTCTGAATGTGCTTGCTTCTTCTCTGGCTGCAGAGATGTCACCACTCAAGTGCGTTTGGCATCCCGAGTGATGGCTCACGTCCAAGCATCTTATTCAGGATCAGCTCTTTATGTGCGTCTTTATCCGTGTAAAAGATCCTTGTTTACATGAGAAAGCTGAGGATTCAGAAAATTAGACAACTTCAGTTCACAGCAGGAGGTGTGTGGATGCCTCCATATACTCATATTCTGACTAAAATATTCATGTCAGGTGTATTTTTTTCTCTCTGTAAACATCTACTGTGTTGTGTTGTATTGTATTCTGTCACTGAGGAGGAAGCAGCTGTTGGCCGGAGAGGAAAAGAGTGAAATCGTTGGGAAACTTAAGTTAATGAATTCCTGGAATGTCCTGGAAGTGTACTCTGGATGTACAGTAATGTGCAGTAATGTAAAGGCAGCATCATAAAACTGCAGCTTTCAGATCAAAACCAAAGATCGGATATTATAATCCTCAACAAAAAAAAGTCAGTATTCATCCGCTGCTGTTGGAGAGGATTACATCATGTTGTTCAGGGCGTTACTTTTATTTTGTTGCTCCTCTTGTTTTGTCAATGCGAACACACCAGGACCCTGAAACTGAAGCAGCTAAATGGAACTCAGCCATCATTAGTTTCATTATTCACACTTGAGCTTTTCCTAATGTGACATGTCCATAAAAGAAAAAGTCACGGCCCTTTTTAAATTTAAAATAAAGTGATGTGAAATGAATGAGAAGCCATTTACAGCAGTTAGCAGCAGAATCTGAACCTTTGTGATTGAAACAATGATTCATCTGAGAGTGTCAGTTCTCCATGTCTGCGTCTGTTTTTGACCCTTTACTAGCTTTTCCTGGAGCTTTTAAATGCATGTTGTGGTCTTCCTCAGTGGCGGGTAGAGCAGTGCCAGATTACATGTGACGCACAAGTCACATGGACTCGTGATGGATCAGTTAATGGGAGTTTTGCTCCGTCATGGTGGAGACGGTTTGGATCTTATGAAACTTTGGTGACGTGATGACGACTGAGTGAAAGTTGCTTTCTACTCGAGCCTGACTGATGTAGATGTTCGAGAGTTTAAACGACATTTTAACATAAACACGAGAGATTTCCTGAAACAATTCAATGATTCATCGATGAGTCAATTGACAGAAAATATTTGCCGACAGTTCTGATCATTTATGAATCTTTCCAGTATTAAATTTTCTACTTTCATCATCAGTTTAATTTCTTTGTTTTGCACCGTTGTAAATTACACATCTACTTTGAATTCTGAACCGTTCGATGGCACAAAAGAAGAAAGAACGTCACCTTGAGTTTTCATGGACTAAACTTTTTTCCACCATGGACCGGTTTCAGAAAGACAGATTTCTCTTGAACAGGTTGTCTGGGTGGGGGTGGGGGTGGGGTGGGATTTTCTCACCACAATGCAACAAGTACAATTGGCCTGTAATTACTGGACTAGATGATTGAATAATTGAAAAAAAGATGGAGGAGGAATCGATAATGAAAATAATTGTTTTTGACAAGAGTCTCTTCAGTGTGTCGGTGTTTCTGTTTCTTAATCACCTCACACATCTTTGTTATTTCTGACCTGTGGTTTGCAGTCACTGATATTGATTAATCTGTGATGCAGCTATAAATATAATCAGCCGGTTGTTATATGGGTCAGACCAGGCTGCCTCTGTGTTGTGGGTCAGTTTATACTCATTGTAAAATTGGACGAAGCTCTTCGGCTTCTGTCTGCGTTTTGGATTCTGTGGCTCTCCGTCGTCTCAGAGGTCAGAGCTCTCACGGAGGCCGTTGTGATCATAACCATCATAACGTCGCTAATCTTAGTCCCTCCCAGCTGGCCTCTGATTGGCTCTTTATTTTCTCTGTCTCCAGACGGGATTACGTCTGTGGTCGTCAGGTCAGAGGTGTCGAACCCGGCTGAAGCTGCAGCAGCAGATCGTATCATCCACTCTCTCCTCTGTGGGGGGGGGGGTTCATGCGTATCTTGTTTCCGCTGAAGATACGTTAATGTAGGTGGTGGAGGAGGACGGGGTTGGGACCTCCCCTCGTCAGTCTTTGTAATCAGGGGAATGTGAGCTGTGAATTAGTCACGCCACACTGAGCCACAGACCACCGCCTCCTGATGAAGAGTGTCGACTTACACGCCGTCTGCGAGCCCGGCCGCCTCCCCCTGGGGGGTTTTCCTTCTCCCTCAGGGGGGTGTGTGGTGGGGGGGGGCGACTCAAACATCCTGGAAGACTTGACTCTGTTGTGTTTTGGTTCGCACACACTCGGCCAGATTACAAGTGAAGCAGAGACTGTAAACAAAAGCCACGTGGTTCCACGAGTGGATCTGTGGCTTCACACTGGGACGTTGCAGGTTTTCGTGGTTCAGGAGACTGAAAACAAACTCTGGTCCTCGTGACTTTATCCTGACCTGATGACGCTTCAGTGTCATTTTATGTTCATCCAGCCTCCATGACAGTTCAAATCACATCATCTCAACTCTATAATTTTCCCTCCGTCTGCTCTGGAACCGCTGGCTATCACATGTCGACATCTGTGTCTTTATACCCAGAAACCCTTGTGTTTTTAGGTTGTTTCCTGGAGTCGGGTCGGATTACCTTCTCACTCCGAATGAAAAACCAACCACACTGTATTCCTCTTGGAAAAGTGGAGTGGAAAGTCTTTAAAGCTGAAAACATGTCTGTTATTCAGGAAAAACACTGTACGATTATTAACTGGTTAAGGTCAAGGTTAGTCTGCTTTTCTTTGTGTCTTATTTTGAAATTAAATCATTAGATTTTGTGGATTCAGGTAAATTGTGATGGACATTTGTCTCAGTTTTTAATCATTTATAGACTAAAGAACAAATGGATGAAATGAAAACGTGATCTTAGTTAATAGATGAGGCTATAACGGAAAATAAACCTACATTTTTTTGCATTATTCTCTTTGTGCAAAACGACCCCCGGGAGTTTGATGCTCATTAAAAGCTGTTGCACGCTGGTTTCAAGCAGAAACTGTGGGAGGAAAACGTGCATATGTTTGCAGAGGAACATGTGCACAGGTTGCCGTGTTCTGTTTTGTCGACTTGTTCAGCAACAAGCTCCAACACTGATGATATTTTAGTGTTTTCGGTGGATCTGTGAGGTGACGCCAGGTTTCACCAGCTGGCAGCGAGTTTGAGGAAAGATCA